AGGTAGGTAGGTAGGTAGGTAGGTAGAGATAGATAGATAGATAGATATAGATATAGATTAGATAGATAGATATAGATATAGATATAGATTAGATAGATAGATATAGATATAGATATAGATTAGATAGATAGATAGATAGATAGATAGATAGATAGATAGATAGATAGATATAGATATAGATTAGATAGATAGATAGATAGATATAGATATAGATTAGATAGATAGATAGATAGATATAGATATAGATATAGATATAGATATAGATTAGATAGATAGATAGATAGATAGATGATAGATAGATGAGAAAGAGAGATGATAGATACTGTAGATGATGGATGGATGAGTGGATAGATAGATGACAGATCATAGAGGATAGAGGTTACAGGTGATAGGTAGATTAGAGAGAAAGAGATGATAGAGATTGATGAGGGATAGATAGAGATGATAGATAAATACTGTAGGAGATGGATGGATGGGTAGGTAGGTAGACAAACAGACAGACACATAAAAGAGAGAAAGAGAGATGATAGATACTGTAGATGGTAGATGGATGGGTGGGTGGGTGGAGAGAAAGAGAGGTGGGGATACCTGGATACCTAACTAGATGAGAGACAAAGAGAGAAGGAGAACAGGAGATGCCACCACAGGGAGTCTAGTCTGCAAATGGTTGTCAGTGTGGAAAACAGTCCCAAGCCCCTTTTTCCGTTGCTCGTCGTAAGTTCGAACGGCCACTACACAAACTTGTAAATCAAGCACAGTTGGGCTCACGGGTGCTGGAGACCCCCTAGGCCTTGGACCCCTTGGCCCAAGGGCCGGTTCTCCTTTCCTGCCCGGAATGACCCCTTTCTTCCTCCCCCTCCGATTGACAGGACCCAGGCGGAGCGGATACGGCGGCCACGGTGTTGCCGGGGACCCCAAGGGCTGCTACCCCGCTACTCCGGGAGCCAGGCGGAAGGGCAGGAGATACTCCTCAGGCTGGCCGATAACCTCCAGGATGAGTTGTAAGTACCAGAGGGAGGGAGTCCTCGGCTTCGCAGCCTGGATCCGAACCCAGCACCACCCCCACCCCCTTGGAGTCGCAATGATGGCCACTGTGCGAGTTTCCAAGCCGCAAAGCGAGCGACGCTTAAACGACCTTTTTCTTCAGAGTTAAATCTTCTTTTTTTAATCTTTTTTTTTTTAATTTAAAGTATCTTGCTAAGTGATCCCACATTGTTATTCTCAGCTGGGTTCCCTCTTTCACTTCTGAAAAACAAAAACAAAAAAAAACTGAGTTGCTGAGTAATTAAATTACTTCCTGATGTGTGTGTGTCTGTGTGTGACTTTTGCCGGAGGCGGTCCCGACTTTCGGGCCATAAATTCTCCCTCCGTAGATGCGGTTGATTCTCCTTTCTTTTTCTTTTTTCTTTTTAAAAAAAACTCCTTTGATTTATTTATTTTTTTTAATCGGTTGCGCTGGCTGGGAATTCTCCCTTTTGCAATTGGTGGGATTGGGAAAAACCTGGCATTTTTTTAAGGATCACTAAGGAGGCCTGGCAGCCAACCCGGATGGGAGAAATGGACGTCAGTGAAAAACATGACCTACAAGGTCCCTTCCAACTCTTATTATTATTCTATATTCAATGGAACAGAAGTTGCCTTCGGAAGTTGTTGGAGCTTCATCCCTGGAGGCTTTCAAGAAGAGACTGGATTACCCATCCGTCAGAAACGGCGTAGGGCCTCCTGCTTGGCGTAGGGTGGGGTTGGACTAGATGACCTACCAGCTCCCTTCCAGCTCTTGTGAATCTCACGCTCTAAAAAAAAACGAACCCTCCCTTCTTCCCTCCTCCCTTTCCAGCTTCATCGCGGTGGAGAACGTGGACGGCTACGGCGTGGTCATCTCTTCCAGAGCGGTTTATTTCCTCAAGAGCGGCGACGCCCTGGACCGAGAGGCCATCTTCCTGGAGGTGAAATACGACGACCTCTACCACTGCCTCATCTCCAGGGACCACGGGCAGGTCTACGTCCAGCTGACCAAGAAGGCCGTCAATTCCGCCAGCGGCGTCTCGATGCCCGGCCCGTCGCACCAGAAGCCCATGGTGAGCCGCTCTCTCTCTCTCTCGGGACGGTTGGGTTGGATCCTTTGCACCGGTTTGAAAGGAAACCCTTTGGAGGCTTTGGAAACCCTTATTACAAGGTATTCCTCGGCTTAACGACCGACCGTCGCGGAGCCGAAACCTTCCCTTGTTAAGCAAAAAGGCAGGTGGCTTTTAGGGTTGGGCACCAGGTTGAGTTTGCTTCGGCGTTGCGCATGGAGCCCTTGTGATTAAACCCAGTTGTTTTAGGGTTCAGTCTGGGGCCTTTTCAAACCAATGGCCGGGAGTCCTCGGCTTAACGACCACCGTCGGATGCCCGAACGCCTCTGCCGCACAACAGAAGTGGCAGAGCGAAGGCGGATATTTTGTGAGCCCACAAAATGTCCGTGGCTGAGCGTTGCTAAGGGAGGGTCATCCCACTTAATGACCCCTCTTGCCACCGTCGTTGAGTGAATTGCTGCAAGCGGTGAAGTCGTTAAAAACGAACCTGCCTTCCCCCGTCGAACCTCAGGGAGCCGGCGACCGTCGTCAGGGTGAAAGAAAAACAGCCTTAGGTCCCTTTTTCCAGCCCCGTCGTAACTTCGAGCCGTCCCTAAACGAACAGTTATAAGTTGTTATATTCCCTCAGAGACAGTTGTCAAGCAAGCCGTGAAGCAAGCGGTATATATAAGTCTCCAAATTCAGCACAGCACGTCTTTGCCTTAACGACGGGATTTCCATTTCTAGGTTGTTAATGTCGTAAGTCGAGCATTACCCAGAATTCTCAGCTGGTGAGCTGACAGGAAGAGCTTTTTTATTGGGGACCCTAGGCCATTTCAGTCAATCAATCAATCAGGATAGAGCCGGGAGGGACCTCAGAGGTCTTCTAGTCCAACCCCCCTGCTGAAGCAGGAGGCTTTGTGTGTGTCCTTTTTTTTAAGCCTCCGTGGTCCTGTCCTTCCTCCCGCAGGTCCACGTCTCCGCCGAGGACGTGGCCGTCCGCCTCTGTCAAGAGATCAACTATGCAAAGAGCCTTTTCTACGAACAGCAGCTCATGCTGAGGTCCGGCGAGCCCCACGAACAGTTAGAACTGGACTCCTGACCCGGAGGGAACCACCCCCCCACACCCCGGCCCTCCTCCCACCACCACCGCACACTCAGCTCAGCTGGAAAATCGGGGCCCCGTAAGGACGTTTTCGGGTGAATCACAGAAACCAAAAACTACACAGGGGGGAAGAAAATGATCTTGCACCGACAGCCGATACCCCTTAAAAAAACCCTGGTATTTTCTTAACCATTTCTGTATGTATATATATATATGTATATATATATATATATATACATATATATATAGTACACGCACATATAAATATAATATATATATATATATGTGTGTGTGTGTGTGTGTATATATACATATATATTATTCTATAAATATAAGTTCCAGGTAAAACTGAAAGAACAGACATCCCGATGTATATATATGTATGTATGTATGTATGTATGTATCAGGATGTCTTTTTATATATATACATACAC